TTTCTTCAAAATCGATCCTGCCATTTTCGAGTAATTTGCGAAACTGACGAATACCAAAGGATTTTTGTATAATAGATATTAATTAACAACATAAAAATTCAGAGGCACCAAGTAACGCAAGTCGCTTTTTGCTCTTCACAGAGCGAATGCGGTATCCATCGAGAAAACAACTTTTTTACACCTAATTGTTCATTCAAGATTATTTGTACTTGACGCATGCCAATGTCTAAAGTTGCCTAAATTTCGCGGTATGTAACATGTCGATCTTCCTCAATCAGCTTACGCACAGAATCAACGTTTTCTTGGGTGACTGCAGTTTTTGTACGGGGATCATCACTGAGCTTGACACGTCTACGTTGAAATTCAGCAAACCAGCGATAAATTGTGGATTTGGATGGGGCTTCATCACCAAATGCAGAAATCATCCGGTCAACACACTATTTTTGTGTTAAACCACTTCGAAAGTCATAATAAATCATCGCTCTTGAATTTTCTCGAGTCAATTCCATTTTCTCAAAGACTAAACAAGTTTGACAAAACCTTGTGACAAGACCGAGAATCTTTTTTTAAATAAATAAATGGTATTCGATTCTTAACCCAGGGATTTTTCAATTACAAAAAAAAAAAATATGACAGGAACAGTGGAAATATTCCATTCCCGATACTTTTAGTGCAGCCCTCGTATATGAATAAATGGAGTGTAGGACGGCTCCCACTAGATAGAACGACGATCTATAAAGACATGCACGAAGTAGATGGATGCAAGTGGATCAGAACCGTGCTTTGTGGCGTTCCGTAGAGGAGGCCCATGTGCAATAGTAGAATTGTGAATGTGATGATGGTGGTGATGATCAGCCAGATCAGATCAGATGGTGCCTGTGCAGATCAGCCTGTAATATGCAAACATATATTAAATGTTTGCAATTAAAAATAATATATACCCAGATATCGGCAAAAAATCAGATCCGCCGATATGAATATGGAGTCGAACCATAAGCGCCTTGATCCGCGTATGCGGTAACGAATCTTTATTTTATACCGAACATCCGCGGATTTTGATATGAAACCTTGGTTAATTATTTCTATCTGTAAACTTATTTCGAAATGTTTCGCTTTTTCTTCCTCTTTAAATTAATTTTGTCATATCTACGAACTAATAGGTCACGGTTTTATTAATAAAACAGTTGACAACCTCTAGATCTTGTCACTCACGATTGGAGGTTATATAAATTTTAAAACGAAAAAATACTCTAGAAACTTGGATATTGAAAATGTTTGTTCTGCGCCGTCCCGCTTAATATAAAACATTCAGGTCATGTGAAACGTTTTTTACGTTTTGAAATGAGACAAGCTCTGAGCATTTAGATTACTTTTATACATTTTCCCTCGCATTTTTATACATAAATTAAAACCTATGGGAAAAAAATAATAACAACAGATTCTTGTATGCAAGTATATCTTCATCAGCATCATCATTGCTGCCTTTCAAAAGTCCACTGCTGAATATAGCCCTTCCCACAGATTGTATCAAACATTCCCCATATTTGCTATAGTTGTCACGCTTGGCGGACGTAATGGCTCTCGTACTTATTGGCTAGCAAGCGCAGTTTTTGTTATTTTGAATTGTTATCAATGAAATTGAAAAGTGAAAAAAAAAAACATAAAAATGCTGTTGCCCATCACCTGTTAGATTTCTCTCTGTTAACACGACACCCACTCGACAAAATGAGATGAAGAATTCTCTAACACTGCCACGTAGTATACGCTCAACTTAGCTTATATGTAGATTACAGTCGAGAAATTCGCTTAGATAGAGCATAAGAAGAGATTTTCAAGATAGAAAAATTTCCTATTCGAACAATTATGTTATTTTCTATTATTCTTCTTTTTCTTCTTCTTTATCATCATTATCATCATTACAGGTACTCCACAAATACCTGCATCATATTCCTGAATTTTTTACCAGGTTACCACTCCGGCTACCCTGCACTTTGATCACCTGTACGTGGCTCACATTCGAGAATCTTTATTCATGATCTGTTGTCTATTCTTCGAGCTGTAAGGCCAAAATATTGCCAAATACTGACCAAAGAAACTCCGAGTATGGCTGTTTCTATAGCTCGCTGTGCGGCTTTGAGCTTCCTTACGCCTCTAGTAGTGAAGGGGCAGGTCTCAAATCGTCAGCCCATAATAGCCTACAGCTGGACATGTATTTTCCTGGTATAAGAATTATTTCTTCTTTTTTTGGCACTTTCAGGCGCCGGTAAGGGATATCGCACGCCTAACTAAAATGACGAGAGTATGCTGAAATTGAATGGAAGTATTATAATTCATAAAACTAAAGTATATATATTTAATTAAAATGAAACGCTTTGGTACAAAACACGTTGAATTTTTGGTAACCGATTACGCGTGACTATAATATCTCACTCATTTTTTGGCAAAAGTACATAATTGAAAAGTGAATGAATGTTTCACCGAATGCATATGCTTCAAACGGATGTAATAGGATTGAGTTTGGGGCTGAGTGCTGGCCATTCTTTACACCATATTATATCAGGCTCATTAAGATAGACAGTTTGTATGAGGAAGCCATTTTTTTTTTCTTGTATATCTATTCTCTTCCACTATTATTGTGGCGGATTGGGATTATTTTACTAGATATAGTGGACTGTATTGAGAATCTAAATCCCCTGAAACGTTCAGTTACCGCAGTCACAAAATCACACCAAAAACAGCAACAAACTACTCACGGTCTTACTAGCCAGCCTCCCAAGATCAGCAAACGTTGACAGCTCCTGGTAGCTTCTTCTACACGGTAGAATACACTAGCAATTAGATTGTACACGGTACACTCTGGAGTAGTCCCTTTTTAAAGTTTTTGGAGAGATGTTCACATCACGAACACAAAGAGAATGTGTATAGCTTGTCTCGCCTCCTACCCTCCTCTTCTCTTTTTTTTAACTCCACAGATTATTACAACGCATATTACGTCGCAATGTTGCCACTAGGTGTGACCGGCGCTCCGATCGTAGCAGATCATTGTGCCTCGGTATAAATTTTGTGAGTTGCGGTTTATTACTGAACACACCCCCCACCGAAACCATCTTGATGGTTTCTCCTAACTATATGAAAAAGATATTAGAGAAAATATTATAACTTAAGCTACGGAACATGCAAAATAACGCTGAGACACAGAATGTCCTCAACGAGAAAAAAAAATATTAATACACGTAAAAACTAATTTGAATAAGGTAGAGGACTCAGTTTATTAACTGGTCTCTGTAGAGTACTCTTTTGAGTGCGAAGCGTAACACAACGAACAATCCCATCTGGACCGGGGTGAAGAGCCTCAATTCTACCCAAAGGCCAATCGCACGGCGGTACATTATCAGTTTTTATGATTACGAGATCACCTATTTTTATATTAGATCTATCCGAATGCCACTTTGCTTTCTGTTGCAGCGTATTTAGATATTCGTGACTCCATCTACGCCAAAACATTTGTGAACATTTTTGAATATATTGCCAACGTGATAATCGATTTATTGTTATATCCTCTACATTATACTCAGGTACTGCTGTTAACCCTTTTCCAATTAGAAAGTGTCCCGCAGTCAAAACGTTGAACTCATCAGGATTATCACTAGCTGGTAACGGACAAAGCGGCCGCGAGTTGAGAATCGCTTCTACTTTACAAAACACTGTTGTGAGTTCCTCGAACGTCAAACTTTTTTCTCCTACGGCTCGCGTTAATAGATACTTGGCGGATTTAATTCCAGCTTCCCAGAGCCCACCCATATGTGGTGCACCAGGGGGATTAAATCTCCATATAATTTGTCGTTTTGAGCAACCCTCTAATATATTGTTTTTTTGTTCGAGCATAAATCTTTGTACTTCGGTTAAATGCTTACTAGCAGCTATGAAATTAGTTCCGCAATCCGAATAAAGGAAGGAGCACACACCGCGTCGCGCTACAAATCTGTCTAAACACGCGAGGAAACAGTCCGATGACAACGACGATAAGACTTCAAGGTGTACAGCTTTTGTCGAATAACAAATAAATAATGCTAAATATGACCGTTCAACCCTAGCATTTCGTCGTAAACTTTCTTTTGTAAAGAACGGACCACCGAGGTCCACCCCTACATGCTCAAAAACATTACAAGGTATCAATCGGGCTGCTGGCAAAGGTGCCATCTCAGGCTGTAAGAGCACTGGGTTGTGTTTAAAACAAATTTTGCATTTGGACAAAACTGACCGAATAATGTGACGGGATGCTAAAATCCAAAAATTTTGATTAATAATGTTTTGTAAGGTGCGTGGACCTACGTGTAAATATTTTTTATGTAAATATTCAATAAGTAACAAGGTAAATCTACTATTTTTAGGTAATAAACGAGGATGCTTCGCGTTATAAGGTAACGCTGAATAATTTATTCGACCCCCCTGAGGTATCCGCGTTCGTCAATAAATGGAGATAATTTTCTCAACGACGGAACGTACTTTGTGCCCTTTGACAATCTATTTATTTCATTTGCGAAGTATGCACTTTGTACTAATTTAATTAAAACATCTTGGGCAGTATTTAATTCGTTAGTCGTCAGTATTGATTGCTTCGAGTGACCGGATTTGAGTCGGAACCATCTCAATATTCGAGCAAACGTACGTTGCAGTTTATAATAAGAAGAGAAATTGGAAAAGATTCGGTCACAGAACTCTAACTTAGTCTCCTCTATCGAATTATTTTCATTTGTGATTAAATTGAAGGAGCCTAATGTATGATTTGATTTCATTTCGGGTGTATTACTTTCATGTTGGTTGATAAATGTTCTCACTGGCCACTGCGAATAGTCGTCGTACAACCAAGATGGGCCCTTCAACCACTGCTCACTGCACTCCACGAGCTGTGACGGAGACGCTCCGCGCGAGCATATGTCTGCCATATTGCACTCACTACTCACGTGACGCCAACAGTGTGGAGGTAACACTTCACATACCTGAGTAACACGGTTACTAACAAACGGCTTTAATTTGTAAGCTTCTGTCTGAAGCCACGTCAACACGATAGTCGAATCGGTTAACGCAGTAATACGAGTAATTTTTACACGAGTTAAAATGTCACGGACATATCTAATTAATTTGCTTAACAAAACTGACGCCATTAATTCCAACCTCGGGATAGTTAATGGTTTGACGGGGGCTACTTTAGATTTTGCTGTCACCAGGCGTACTTTAGTTTGACCTCTATCGTTACGACTGATCACATACACACAACTAGCATAACCGCGAGAGCTTGCATCGCAAAAGGCGACCAATTCACATTCGGTCTGTTCTGGTAGCAGCATATGTCTATCTATCTTGATTGCCGTTAGTCGCGGGAGATCATCAACGTAATTAAGCCAGCGCTTAGTTACGTCAGTTGGCAGCTGCTCATCCCATCCTATGCCCAGCTTCCATAAATCTTGCATTATCTCTTTCGCGATGAAAATGCACGGTGAAATAAAACCCACGGGGTCGTAAATAGAAGCTAATAATTTTAAAACAGAACGTTTAGTTGTTACTTTATCAGTCTTATCTACTGTGAAATAAAAACAGTCAGTCAAAGGGAACCATTTCAGACCTAGCACTTTGACTGAATATTTGTTACCATCTTTCATAAATGTAACAGGACACTCTCGGTTTTCTAACGGAACGCGTTGTAAAACTTTTGCACTATTACTCGCCCACCTTTTGAGTATAAAGCCACCGGAATTAAACATCTCTAAAAGTTCATCTTGTAACCGAGATATCTGTGACAATGAACTACAAGAATATAGAATGTCATCCATGTACACGCCCTCGCGCACAACCTTTGCAGCGAGTGGGAAACGTTCTTCCTCGTCATAGGCTAACTGTAAGAGGGTGCGGATAGCTAAGAACGGTGAGCAACTTAAGCCGTAAGTGACAGTTTTTAATTCATAAACGTCAATGGCATCGTTAGGCGAATGACGATACAAAATATGTTGATAACATCTATCTGACTGATTCAGTTTAATTGCCCGATACATTTTGCATACGTCACAAATCAAACAATATTCAAACAACCTAAAATTCAATATTATAGCCCCAATATCTCGATACAGATTAGGCCCGGTCAATAGAATATCATTAAGCGAAACGTTCGTGGACGTTTTAGCCGAGGCATCGAATACCACACGCAAAGGAGTAGTGGAACTACTGGGCTTAAGTATACTGTGATGAGGTATCACATATTTGCTTGGGGTGTCCCCCGAATAAAGCTCCATGTGCCCTAGATTTTCATATTCGCACATGAACTCTGAATAGGCTTGTCGTAATACAGGTGAACGATTCAACTTGCGCTCGGTGAACAAGAGTCGCCGCTCGGCTGCCGCTCGTGACGCGCCCAACGGAGGCGGGTCTGGTATGAATGGTAACGGCACTGAATAGGTACCATCCTCAGTACGACTATAACGAGCCACGAAAATGTCTTCCGCTAATTGTTCCAAAGGATTAATCGAGGGTTTGCTTGGCAATTCTTCGATTTCCCAAAATTTACGCAACGTTTGATCTAAAGACTCTTGTTCATCAAATGAGACTGATAAATTATAATTTTTTAAATTGTCCTTATCATTGCTATAAAGTTTACCACTTACAACAAACCCGAAAGCGGTATCGATCACGCTTGGTATATCCGATGAAATAATATAAGGTTTATCCTTAATAAGTTCCGAAACTATATCATTGCCCAATAGTATATCGATACGCGAACGCTTATAAAATAATGGATCAGCTAAATTAAAATTCTTATATTTATTAATAACGTCCGAGTGGAATCGAACGTTAGGCATATCAGCAGATACCTTAGTCACTACGACCATGTTCAGTGTAAAACTAGGTAGGTCAGTGTGTAGGGACCTTAATGTGCATGTAATCATGCCGTGATTTTTTACAGCCTCTCCACCGAGACCATAAATATTAAACGAACACTTCTTTCGAGGTAAGCCCAAACGTTGAGCACACTCAGTTGTAATAAATGAGCTCTGAGCTCCAGAGTCAATAACTGCACGGCAGTATTGAAGCTGGCCGCTACTATCAATTACTAACACGCGCGCCGTTCCCAATACAACACCGTAACCCGAGTGAGCGTTATTGGAATGAAGCGTATCTATCGTATAACGCTCTGAGTCACTCATAGCCTGAGACGAGACGAGTGCTTGTTGCACTTGCGAGTCAGAGCACAATGGACGGGTGGATGTTGGCACGAGCGTGTCGCTCACTGGCTCCCTATGCAATAGATAATGATGTAGTGACGCACATACACCACAAGACATCTCACTTTTACAAGTTGAGGTATCATGATTTCCTTTTAGGCAATTATGACACAATTTTAAGGTATTGACACGGTCAATCCTTTTATCTACGGTCAATTTACGAAATTGATCGCACCTATAAATCATGTGATTTTGATTGCAATGCGCGCAAATTATTTTTTTATTTTTATTATAATTCGACACATTAGTATTTAAAACTGTCTTTGAATAACTTTTGTAGTGGTTATTATTGTTGCCTTTGTAATTGTTACATATAGACTTATTTCTTGATTGTAACGACATCGTACTATTCGATGAATGTTCGAGTACTTTAACTTGTTTATTTACAAAACTAATTAATTCCGAAAAAGATGGAAGTGAATTTTGATCCCGATTTTCTTCAAAAAGCCTCCTAGTATGCGCATCCAACCCACGTAAGGCTAAATGACAAAATAAATAGTCATGTAAATTTTTAATTTTTAATGCCTCGATGGCTTTAAAAGAGTGATCGAATGTTTCGATAAATAAAGTAAGATTTGCGGTAGTGTCTTTATTTAACGGCGTAAAGTTTATCATTTTGTCGATGTACCTACCCACGAGTATTCGATCATCTTGATATTTATTACATAAACTTTGCCATACGACAGTATAATTAGCGGCTGTTATGGGCAATTTTTTAACAATGTTTAATGCCGAACCTTTAACACATGAAAGCAAATAGTGAAACTTATCTATTTCATCGAAATCTCGATTGTGGACAAGTGATACAAATGTATCGTAGAATGTGGTCCACTTCTCAATATCACCATCGAATTCAAATAAACGTAATTTAGGTAATGACGGCCTTACATCACTCCTATCTTTCCTACTGAGGGATGCCTGCTCGTCCGGTTTTAATCTTAAATATTGCAACCTACATGCCTTATAAAGTTCATCAAATGTATCTAATTCTCGCGTTGACAATCTTGTCTCCGGTTTTAATGATATATCTATTTCAATAATATTTAACACTGTTTCTTCAAACTTTGAGCGGACACTTTCTAATTCGGAATAATCGGCTAAGAAATTCTGAATTTGTGTGGGATCATTTATTTGGGATCTCGCGATATCGAAAACCTTTTGTAATTTAGCAAATAGGTATTCCTTTTTAAAAATAAGTGTTTGCCTTTTTATTTGTAATTTATCCGACATTATGAACAAATTACAAAATTAATACTTTATAAACGCACCGCGAGCAATGGACATCCAGGTAAAAAAGAGGCAAATTAAATAAGGGATATTAAATTAATTAAATGCGTAGTTTTACTCAAATATATGACGTCCACGGGACGCGAATTAAGGGTAGAAAATTATTATTCGAAGATCACTAATTCGAATATATGCGGCTCGAAGACCAGAAATGTGGCGGATTGGGATTATTTTACTAGATATAGTGGACTGTATTGAGAATCTAAATCCCCTGAAACGTTCAGTTACCGCAGTCACAAAATCACACCAAAAACAGCAACAAACTACTCACGGTCTTACTAGCCAGCCTCCCAAGATCAGCAAACGTTGACAGCTCCTGGTAGCTTCTTCTACACGGTAGAATACACTAGCAATTAGATTGTACACGGTACACTCTGGAGTAGTCCCTTTTTAAAGTTTTTGGAGAGATGTTCACATCACGAACACAAAGAGAATGTGTATAGCTTGTCTCGCCTCCTACCCTCCTCTTCTCTTTTTTTTAACTCCACAGATTATTACAACGCATATTACGTCGCAATGTTGCCACTAGGTGTGACCGGCGCTCCGATCGTAGCAGATCATTGTGCCTCGGTATAAATTTTGTGAGTTGCGGTTTATTACTGAACAATTATTATTACAAGTAATTCTCAAATGCGAGTCTTTTTTCTAACCTAGCCTTTCGTTTTCGTTTTTGTGTTTAGGATGTATGTAATTCGATTGAGTATTTTACCGTAAACTCTGATTTTGCCCCTCAAGTGACTAATTTCTTTTCAAGGAAAAATATCTTTCTAGGTTTTTACACAAAATTACTCTCAAAAAATATTTTATCAGATTTCTATTAATGGTAACATGTCTCACAAAACCGCTATTTACGAATGTACAAAATTTATAAGCTTTAAAAACCGTTCTACGAAATGACGGTCTTTCCACTAAAAAAATCCCACGCAGTTTTTATCGGTTATCTGTCGACGAAATCAAGCCGTTATACTGTTATGGCATCAGTGAATATTAAGCCATTACCAATGGCTGTATCAAAAGTCCACTGCTGAAAAAAGGCCATGCACAGTATACAGTATTGCCTCATGGGGGATTATTTAACATAGTTGCCACACTTGGCAAACGGGTTGACATCTACGAATTTTTATTTTTATTTAGCTGTTATCAGCAAAATGCCTCTTTCGATACCCACGGGTGTAAGAATATCCCCTACCTCATATCAATGAGGTAGTGGATATTTTTACACACACGCTATACCTTAAACTTATAAGCCAAAAAGTGATACCAATAACACCCAAGGCTTACTGACTCAATCATTGTTTAGAATGAAATTTCAGATGTAAGAAAAACTAAACAATTCTTAATAGATTGGTAATATATTCACACATGGGTACTACTGTATTTCGTGTGATCCTAAGATCGATTCTGGGGTCGTGCTGAAATTAGCTTTGCATGTTTCTACCAAGAAATTCCCAGTAGATTTCTCAATTTGTCAGGAAGTTAGCGATGTTTCACCCCCGTGCTTCGGAAACCACGTAAAGCCGTTGTCAAAGCTACTACTAACAGTTGATCATCGAATGCGTCTATATGGAGCAATCGAACGGTGCATGTGCATGTGCATGGGGTGAGACGCGGGCTGAGCACTTCCACTGTCCACTTCCCCTAGGGTTGTCCTGTCACGCAAATGAACTAAAATAATTTACACTACGGTGTGCGCTAAAAAAAAAACTCTATGTCGTCCTAAATTAAAGAAAAGGAATTATTTTCGCCAATTTTCAGACACAAAAAGTTGTATAAACGTGAAATAAAGTAAAATCAGTTTTTTTTTAATACTTCTCGTTCTGACAACCCTAGCAATTTATTATTTATGTCAGCTTTTCCGACAACATCAAACGCGATGGCTAAATGTATGTACTTCTTAGGCTACGCCATCGTGTTAGATTGCCGTTCCATCGGATAATTAGAGTGGGGGAATAGAAAGTGCACCTGCGTTTGCGTTTTTTTACAATTGAAATTGAAAGATTGAACCCTTATACTTCTTGTTGATTTTTGTATTACCTTTATTAAAGTTACCCTTATGTATAAATAAATATAATTACGTATGTAGAAATAAAATTGATTTTCATCCTCATCAATCATTGGGGCGAGGATAATGTCTGCCAGCATAAGTAATAAGCAGGCTAAGTTACAAGGTGCTCAGTTCAAAAATTTGTACTTTTCAATAC